ATGATAATTGTGAATGAATTAAAGAATGAATCTTTATTGCGTCTTCTCGCGAAGAGAGCTGCCGGTTTTGTTGTAAAACTTCAACAGAATTTTGGATTCTTCGGATGAAGTTTTTCACTTGCCGAAAAAAGTACACATCGCATGGTTGGCAGTACGGCATGCAATGAGGTGGAATAATTTCCACTGTTGAACTACAACCGTCGTCGTCGGTAAAAACATTATTAAAATGTGCTGGATCCGTTTGTCCTCCCCACAAGTCCAAGATGAGCAGGAATTCGTTGTCGTTGCAATATGGTTTGATAATGTTTACGACGAATTGGCTAAAGTGATCTTTTGTTAATTTATCTGATTTCGAGGCGATGACGTGTATATTGCCATAGCATTCCAATAACTTGTCGATGACAAAACATGAAAGAATTTCGGCTTTATAACCGACTACATACCTGCAAGGGGATTAAAAATCTCTCGTTCATTTACCATTTTGTATCCGCTTCTTTTACCGGTTTTAAATTTAAACAATTTGAAAATTTACGTTGCCTTTATATGTTATCCATTACAAATAACTTATATATTATTATTATTACTTTTTTTGTTATTATTATTACTATTATTTGTTATTTCAAATATTATTACTTGAATTAAAATTCCCTTAAAATTAAATTTAAATTAATGTTTAGAATATGATATTAAATTAAATTTCAAAAATTTGCATACTATATCAATATCATCAAAATAAATAAAAATAAATAAAAACACTCATTAAAAAAAAATTATTGCTCACCTCTGGGAGCGAACTTGGATCTTATGAATTATGAAGCAAGCACCTAACTCACGAATCCAACTGCACTGGTTGGAAGTACAGTTACCGGAAAGGCTCATATGGCGCGCCGCGGTACGCTTCGGATATGGCCAATTTTCACAAATTTATTACTCCGAAACTAAAGCCTATTCTATCAAACGCCGGGACGTATCTTTTTTTTCATCTCCAGAATAATTAAAAAATTTGGGGTCGAAATCCCAGGGTGAGTCACCTGGTCCTTCCCTTGAAAGTGTTTCTTATTGTCTTTATATGCAATCAGAGCAGTAATTTTAATTTTTTTTAAATATTATTTAGTACAACTACAAAAATAAACTATTTAGTCCAAATATTTAATATAATAAAAAAAAAGTCAGAGATATTCTGTCGACACTTGCACCTCTTTGCCTGTCATGGATAGACCGTTAAAAGAATTTTGTGATATTAATATTATAATCTTTTTTCAAAAATAATATTTTATGTTTGTTTATTGCAATTTAATGTTAAATAATTAGCCGCATTTTCATGGAAATGACAACTGAAAACATTCAATGCAGTCAGAATAAATGTATAGCGTTCTAATGAAGTTTTTCGACGATAAGTCGAAATAAACCTTTCATAGGACGCCAATTTGTGAAATCTTTTCCACAAGAAGAATTTTACTGAAATTTCACTATAACCCGTTATCGCGCTCCGTTTTTTGGCGATCCGGACAGTATGGGATAAAAATCTGAAAAGTAGTGCTGAGATTTTGATTGCTGATAAATATTGTAAAAATATTTGCAAGATTTTATATGAAGACATTATAGAAACGGTTTAGAATATTTTTGATGCATCATGTATTTGAAATATTTTGGGCATACGCTAATAAAAAACGTACGAATATCCATTCAAAAATCCCATAAGGTACACTTTATAGAAAATTATAAAAATCTTATATGTTTATTCAACAAGTAAATTTTTACTAGGATATCCATATAATGCAGGATTCACATCGCGTCCGATGTCCGACGTACAACGTCCGATATCCAATAGGAGAACAGCTTTCTAATAGAAAATTCAATTCTCCATTCGAAAGCTATTCTCTTATTGGATATCGGACGTCGTACATCGGATATTGGACGCGGTGTGAATCCTCCATAAAATATAGTTTTTCTCCAAATAATTCATTGATTTAGATTGATTTTTAAAAGATTTTAAGTAATAATATATCGTGGTTTGAAATAGAGTAATTTCTATAAAATTTTTTTATAAATATGTATACAAATATTTTGAATAATTTCTATAATTTCTCAAAATTATCTTATATATATAATGAACTGGACACACACACACGCACACACACACGTATACGCACATTATAACAATAAATAATTATTATTAATTTTAATTACTTATGTTCATTATTATTATTAGTATACCCTTACAAAAAACACTCAAATGTTAACAACTGACTTTTTCAAGTCAAGAAATCTTTGAATATACATACAATGGAGATTTGTACAATAGGTAATGCTTCAAATAAAATATTTCTAGAATATTCAATTTGAGATATTCTGATATATTTCCCGCGACAGATTTCCAGAATAATGCAAAAACTTCGCAAATGATAATGTTTCAAATGGAATATTTTTAGAATATTCTATTTCAGATATTCTGAGATATTTCCAACGATAGATCTCCAGAATATTTCAGAAGCATCGCAAATATAATGTTTCAAATGGAATATTCTTAAAATATCTCATATAAAATATTCTATTTCAAATATCTGTACAATATCCCAAGAATATCTCAAATGTAATATTTTAAAAATGATATTTGTAATATTCTGGAGACATTGCTGAGAAGTTTTGTGCTGTGTGGGTAACTCTCGTTGCTAACTGCTAACTGCCGCCGTTACCCTGCGCACGCACACCGTTCGTTCGCACGATGGACTGCGTTCCGATTCCCCATCCAGGTGTACTCAGACACCCAAGAATCGTTCAGGTTTCTTTTGAGTGCTCCTGAGAGACACCTAGGTCTGCGTTCCGACTTCCAC